CTGTCAAAAACACTGGTTACCAAGAGCCTTACTAAATCTGAATGCAATTTACATAGCATCTTACAAAAATGCAATACAGAGTCATCAATGGCTACTTAATAAGGCTTTTGAAAATGTATTTGGATATAAAAAGAGGAGTTTAAAATAAGAACAAAAAACGTTTTCCACACTGATGCTTCCATGAAGGACCAGACATACTTCCTTTGAGAATACCACAGGAACCTGTGGATCTTGAATATGGTGAATCCACTACAGCATCATGCTATCAGAACCAGACTTGTTAGAAACACTAAAACTTTTTCAAGAGAAAAGTTAACTCTTGAAGCATAAAAAGTTTTTCCTCATGCTTTTCTTATATTGAGTTTTTAAAGAATGCTAAAATTGAGGCTCCAAAATGCTCTGAAATTGAGCCTTGCCTTAGAAACTACACTATTGTTTGAACTGTAAAATGATATCTGCATCTTATTATTATAATTGGGGTAGGCCATTGGAAGCTCTATTATTTACTCAGTTTTTTAGAAAGGGAATCCAGTGAGAAGTAGCTCAGTTGCTGTGTAAGTAGCCTTGGTCCTGACCTAATGTTTACAAATGCAGCAGCCTCCCTTAAACTCTGCGTTCTCCGGCTTCTCTTCTTCCCTCCCTTTAGCAAACGGGATTTTAAAGACCAAATGCAGAATGAAAACACAAAAGTCTTATGTCTTTCCTTTACTTTCTGTACTCTAATACCTAAGCCATAATTCCAGTTAGGAGCTGGCATACAAAAAAGTATCTATTACACACACATGCACAAAGAGGTGCACACACACACATATGAGCATACACAGAGACATGTGCTCACAGACACAGATAATGCACAGACACACAAAGATGTACCTTACATGCATTATTTTTTAAGTCTGAAAAGAACATATATTTAATTATACTAATCAGAGATCCATACCCTACTGGATATTTCTGGAAACAAAACATTTATTTCATTCTGCCAACAACTAGTCATTTATTTATTCTCCCATCAATCTTAAATACTTTAACAATGAGTAGAGCTTCTTGATTAGTTCTCAGAAATAAGCACTAGGGGCTCAATGGTAAAGCGTCTGCCTTTAGCTAGGTCATGATCCCGGGGTCTTGGGATCAAGTCCAGCATCAGGCTTCCTGCATGGAGCCTTGCTTCTCCTTCTGCCTATGTCTCTGCCTCTCTCACTGTCTCTCTCTTGAATAAGTAAATAAAATCTTAAAAAAAAAAAAAAAAAAGAAAAAGAAAGAAGCACTAGATGTGAATTCAGAAAACATCAGTTGACTTGTATCCAGAATATATATAAAGAACCCTCACAACTCAGTAATAAAAAAAATCTTGAGTTGTACATTTTAAATGGGTGAACTTTATGGTTAAGGCTTAACAGACATCTGAAAACAAAACAAGAATACTTAAAACCAAACAAAGAAGAAACAGAAACGGATATCCCACAAACTGGGTATGTAACTGTTTTTAAGGCATTTAGTAAAGGAGTGACTAAAACCAGATTTGAGAGAAGGATTTCAAGAAGTAAAGAAAGTTTAACCAAATTCATAACACCCTCAAACTTTTAATCCTGAATATACAATCTGTAAAATATGTATTTAGTCTTCAAACTTAAAAAAACCCTCAAAGAACTCTTTTAATCATAATATTATACAACTTTTTTTTTTAATATTATACAACTTTTTAAAAAAAAGTAGAAGTCTTACAGCCATTAAAGCTGGGCTGTAGCAGCAGTATTTAAAAAAAATATATCCTGTTAGGCATGACAAAATTCAACATTCAAAAGAGTAATCTGGAGAATGTGGAATGTGGATCACTTATAAGAGAATCTGCTGGATCAGTTATAACATGAATAAGGTCTAAGGATCTAATGTAAAACATAGGGACTCTAACTGGTAACACTGTAAGGTAGAAATGAAATTTGCTAAGAGAGTTCAAACATTCTTATCAAAAAATTAAAAAAGGAAATATAGATAAATATGTGAGGTGATTGGATGTGTTAATAAACTAGATGGAGGAGTTCTCTCACCATGTATACTTACATCAAGCCATCACGATGTACATTTTCAATCATCTTACAATTTTATATCAATGACTTCAATAAAGCTGAAATTTTTAAGAAAATTCTCTGGAGAACTTGTGAAGATTTGTATTTGTGAGCTTCACGTCAGATTTACCGAATCCAAATTCTTTGGTAGTGCTCAAAAATCTTCAATTTTAACAAGCACTTTAGGTGATACTAATTCAAGTAAAAGATGGGCCAATATTTGAAAAATGCTGCTTCAAAATTACTGATACAACTTGAAAATCTGCTATCAGAAATCATGCCTCCAAGTGTTTATCACCCTAACTTTATCTACTCTTTTTAGAATAAATGAATCAAATTAATAGGTATTGAACATCTATATTTTCTGTAGTACTCCAATAATTTTTTTAAATTCTAAAATAAATCAGTACTCAAGATATAATGTACAATATGATCACTATAGGTAATACTGCTGTATGGTATACAGTGAAGTTTTTAACAGAGTAGATCCAAAGAGTTCTCATTGTAAGGACAATTTATTTTTCTTTCTCTTTTTTTATATCTATATGGGACGATGGATTAATTAATTTATTTTGGTAATTATTTCACAAATATGTAAGTCAAATCATGATGCTGTACATCTTAAACTTATACAGTGCTATATGACAATTATATCTTAATAAAATTGGAAAAAAAATGAAAAATAATTTTTTATCTCACAAAGTATGTGTTGTACACAAGGAAGAAAAATGCCTATGTAACTTTATTATAAAACCAAAAACATTTGACACAGAAAATACAATTAATTATAGGAAAAACTCCAACTGTTTACAGTTATGTATATGGATTTACATAAAGAAACTACCTGATAGAGCTATAGATATCCAATGGGGTTTGATCCTTCTCTTTGGCTAGTCTCATCATATCTAGCACAGCCATTCCAAGACATTCTTCCTGTGTTTCATGAGTCACGGGTATTTTTATCCATCCATGTAAAAAATCATGCCGCCACTACAGGAAAAAAATTTAGAAGGAAAAATCTCTTAAATATCACTATCACATTTTAATCTATCGTGTTTTAACCTACAATTTCTAGAACATATGCATTTAAAAGAACGTCAGCTCCTTCCTTGATTTTCAATTATTTTGCCAAAAGATTTTAGCAAAAGTTTTTTTTGTCAACGGAAACTGATTTAAAATGAGTTCCCCATTATACAGTGCATATCATGTCAATCTATTTCACTGCCTGAATCTTCAAACTATATCTTCCACATAAAAATTACCTAAAATAAAACAGATATTAACTAATTAAATATGTAACTAGTTCGAAATATGTTCAAAGCATTATACTAGGTAGGACTGTGTGAGATACAAAAAAATATAAGATGGATTTCAATCCTCAAGGAGACTAAAATCTAGCAAGAAAGCTAAAAACGTAAACAAAATATTATAATGCCAGATACACTATGCTAAATGCCACACAACAGATGCTTCAGGAATTTAAAAGAAGTTGAAACTATATCTAGTTGAGATAATCAGGGAAGGTTTCATGGAAAATTCAAAACTTCACGTAGTCTTAAGAGATGAAGAGATTTTTGGACACAAAAAAGGGTGATAAAATAGGGAGGAATGATACCAAAACAAAGCATAGGCATGTCCATAGTTTGGTAGGGCATACAGTTTATGTAAGGAAACAATGTGGATTAAAACTTGGAAAAGTAAGTTGGGGTCAAACTGTAGATACCCTTGAATGACTTGATCCTAAAAAGCAATAGACAAACATTTTCTCACAGCACCTTTTCTTAAAGTATCATGCTTCTTCCACTCCACTGGTCAGAAGTAGTAATGATAAAAGTGCTTTAAGAAAATAAAGTGTATTTAGTGAGACTCATTAGGAGGTTGCTGTAATGGTTCAGATAGGAGATAATAAGGATCAGTTGTAGGGAATAGAAGACACTAAAAGGGTCTAAAAAAAAAAACTTGTAACTTTATCACTATATAGAAAAATGAAAAAGAAAAAACAGAAATTCCAAGATTTTAGTCTAGATGATTTAGGAACATGGAAATGAGAATGAACATGTAATAGGAGAAAGGAAAGGCAAAACATGATTTTCTTGGTAAGAAAGGTAAGAACTAGGGCAGCCCCAGTGGCTTAGTGGTTTAGCGCCACCTTCAGCCCAGGGCGTGATCCTGGAGACCTGGGATGGAGTCCCATGTCGGGCTCCCTGCATGGAGCCTGCTTCTCCCTCTGCCTCTCTCTCTCTCTCTCTCTTAATAAATAAATTAAAAATATTTTTTTTAAAAAAGTAACTAAAATATTAGCTGAAATACCAGTATTTAACCAAGGTTTTAAACTGGATAAGAGAAATATAGGGCCATTCTCTTTATTTCATATATGTATCTCCTTTAATGTGATAACTTACCTCATAAAATTAAAGTTTTACACAAATTCTTTAAAAATAATTTTATTAAAAAAATAGGGGTACCTGGGTGGCTCAGCCTGTGAAGCCTATGTCTTCAGCTGAGGTCATGATCTCAAAATCTGGGATCCTTCTAGATCCAAGCCCCATGTCTGCTCAGAAGGGAGTCTGCTTCTCCCTCTCCCTCTGCCCCTCTAACCTCGCTTGTGCTCTCTCCCTCTCTCAAAACAATAAAATTTTAGAAACTAAAAAGACTCTCTCAAATGAAATTTAATTTTAAAAATTAAAAAATTTCAAAAAAATTTATTAAAAGAAATACTCATTTAAAAATATATTTATTAATTTCCTATTAATAAATTAGAAAACATTTTAGTGCAAAAAAATCCTATATTGTTTCAAAGGCACAAACCATGAAATAACCAGTATTAACCAAAACAAAAGCCTAACGTTGGTAATAATACAAACTTTATTTAGGGAAGGAGTTAGATTTCATTTTGCTAAAACTTCTCTCAGCACACTTTTAGAAATCGGGCAAGTAAATTATTCTGATTAAGATAACTGATGGGGGAGAGAAGGGGGGGAGGAGGGGCGGCGGCGGCCAGAGCCTGGAAGCGCGGGGAGCCGGGGAGCCGGGCCAGCCGGGCCAGCCGGGCCAACGAGCGCTGTACTTCTGCCGCTGTACTTCTGCGGGAGCATCCGCGCGGCCGCGAGGACCGGGCGCTGTACGGGGCGCTGTATGGGAGGATCGTGTCGAGGCTGCGGCGCTGCGGCGCTTCGGGGCGGTGCTCACGGAGCACGTGGCGGCCGCCGCCGAGCTGGGCGGGCGCCGGGAAGAGGCTGCTGGGGGTGACAGGCTCATCTAGAAGCAGGACCTGGCTTGGCTGCAGCAGGCATGTGTTGGTGGCAGAAGTGACCCAGCCATCATTGGGTGTGGGCTATGAGCAGGACCAGGCCGTGGCCCTCAATAAACGGATCTTGTGCCTCTTCCGTCCGCAGTCTGGCCGAGTGCTTTCAGCCATGATCCGGGGAGCGGCAGACGGCTCAAGGTTCCAGGTGTTGGGACTATGAAGAGGGCCAGGTGGAGGCCATGCTGGATCAATACTTTGGGGCTGACCCTCCCTAACAGGTGGCTGCCTCCCCTGACCCAACTGCTTGCCTTAGCCCCACTTTGTTAATTCTTCTAATCCCAGACTCTTAGTACCCTTCCCACCTCATAGCCCCAGTACCAAATTAAAAGGATGTTTAAAATTCTGAAAAAAAAAAAAATAATAATAAGATAACTGATGGTTAGGTAATTCTTTTTAATACCTTACTTTTGTTCCATATACTGTATAGGACCATAGTATAATAAATTATGTTCATGAAGATATTCTGTGGAACTTATACCCAAAAGACAATAAAGATAGGAAAACCATTAAAAGCAACACTAAGAGCATAATCAACAAATGCCCCTTAGAGAAAAATTACAAAAGAAATAGAGTCCCAATGCCAAAGCATACTATATTTTAAACGATCCTTCCTTTATAAATGCAACGTATACCAATAACAATTTCCCTTAATTGTACCTGTAGGAAAGTACTTTTTCATTTGGGTAGCTGACAACATTTGAATCAAAAAATTTCACCTACGTCCAACCAAAAAAAAAAAAAAAAAACAGAGTTGCAAAATCAGAAATGAACCAAAGAAACAACAGGAGCAAATGTACTTTTTTTCTTGCTGAATATATATGAATTCATTAAAGATGGTTCACATAGCAGCAAATTATTTGCTGAGTCACCATATTTGATGGTATCAAGGCAATCCTGAGAAGAAAATGAATTCACAAAGGACATCTAACCTTTGGCTTTTATTAGCTTACCTTTTCCAAACTTATCTTTCTATAGTAGTGTCTTACATACTTCATAGTTTAGTGGCTGAACTATTTTTTTAGTTATTTAAAAATACTTATACTCTAATGTCATTAGTCAAATATGTTTTATTTATTCTATAAAATGCATATAATCCAATCTGATATCAATATAATCTGGCTAAGGAAATTACTTCCTTATGTATTTTCTGGGCACAGGATTAGAGAAATAGAAACATTAAGAAATGGAAAATTACATATGGTATTTACTATCTACTACCATATAATTTAGAATTCTATTGTGAAACTATTTTTACTATGCTAGATGAGAAAATCCTTCCTAGGAAAACAAAATTAGAAACTATCCATATTTTTTCTAAATCAAAAGTATTAGATATCACAATACTACAAGTAGGGTAAAGCAGCTGAACAGTTTAGGAAAACTATCTTATTAATGGGATTTAAACTAACATGAGACACCAAAATAAAACCAGTTCTGCAGCACAGATGATATAACCACAAAGCCAACAGAAAGTTTCTCTCTCTCTTTTCTTAATGGCTACTAGAACAAAGATACTACATTAAAGTTGAGTAGTGGTCAAGTTATTTTTTAAAAGAGCACCAGGACCAGTCAATGGAGGAGTTTTTTTTTCAGCAAATGATGCTGGAAAAAAAGGGGATCCACATGCAAAAGAGTGAGATTGGGCCTCATCTCCCAACACCAACAAATATTAACTCAAAGTGGATCAAAGATCATATGAGTTAAACAGTAAAACACTTAAAGAAAATATAGGAGGAAATCTTCATGATACTGGATTTGGTAATGATTTCTTGGATATGACACCAAAACCACAGGTAAACAGAAGAAAAAAACCAGATTACATAAAAATTAAAAAGCTTTGGGCACCACAGGACATATCAACAAATGTCAAAAGCAACTGATAGAATGGGAGAAAATATATGCAAATCATATGGCTGACAGGTGATTAATATCCAGAATATATAAAGAACACTTACAACTTGACAACAACCTGAATTAAAAATAGGCAAAGGACATAAACAGAAATTTCCCCAAAGAAGATATGCAAATGGCCAAAAAATTTAAGAAAAATGCTCAACATCAGTAATTATTAGGGAAATACAAATCAAAACCACAACAAAGTATCACTCCATACCAATCAGAATGGCTATTATCAGAGAAACAGAAAGTAAGCATTAGTGAGGATGTGGAGAAACTGGAATGCTTATGCACTGCTGAGGGAATGTAAAATGGTACAGCTGCCACCGAATACAGTGTAGCAGCTCCTCATAAAAAATTAAAAATAGAATTACCAAATAATCCAATAATTCCATTTCTGGATATTTAGCCAAAGCAATTGAAAGTAGGATCTTTTTTTAAAAAAAAGATCTATTTATTTATTTATGATAGACAGAGAGAGAGAGAGAGAGAGAGAGTGGCAGAGACACAGGAGGAGGGAGAAGCAGGCTCCATACAGGGAGCCCGACGTGGGACTCGATCCCAGGACTCCAGAATCGCGCCCTGGGCCAAAGGCAGGTGCCAAACCACTGAGCCACCCAGGGATCCCCGAAAGTAGGATCTTAAAGAAATGTTTTTATATGCATGTTCATAGAGGTGTTATTCTTTAGAGCCAAAAAGTGGAAGCAACCAAAGTATCTATTAATAGATAAATGAATAAACAAAATGTGGTATATACAATGGAATATTATTTACCCTTAAAACAAGGAAATTCTGACATGCTACAACACAGATGACCTTGAAGACATTATGCTAAGAGAAATATGTCCATCACAAAAGAGCAAATGCTGTATAGTACCATTTATGTGAGAGACCCAAAACAGCAAACTCACAGAGACGCAAAGTGGAAAGATGGCTGCCAAGGGCCAGAAGGGGATAAGGAGTTACTGTTTAATAGGTATGAAGTTTCAGTCTAGAAAGATGAAAAATGTTCTAAAAATGAATTATGGTGACGGTTGTACAACAATGTGAATATACTTTAATGCTATAATCTGTTCACTTAAAAATGGTTAAAATGGTAACTTTTATTAAGTGTGTTTTACCAGAATTAAAAAAAAAGTTACTTGTTCTCATACCCCAAAAGCGGAACATTTTTCAATGTGTTGCTCACAAACTGAACCAGCCTTCCTAGACATCTTAGAAACATGAGCCATGAGGATCTGTGATGTTAGGAAATCTGATTCAAATTCCTTAATCTGACAGCCTGGGAATAAGGAGAGCATACCTTTACCCCAAAAGCACTAATATCTTTTTTCTTTCTTTCATTTCTATTCCTCAGTCTTGTGGTATATAAAAACAAGTTATTTAATGACAGAATATTGCAATGACTGTTTCAATTAAGGTAACAGGAAAATACTACAAAGTGTTCAAACACACTAAAAATTTAATATAACAGAATTAATTAACAAACAACTGGAACACAGCTCTCAGACCAAGGAACAAAATCTAGCCATCCTCCTATGAGGAGCTAAACAAACTACTATAACTCACTTTTTATTTAGTTTCCTACTTACTTTACATTTTACTACCCACTATTTATGTCTGAAATTGTTCAGGAATGAAAAAAAATTCTCTGAGGAAATTTTACTGTCTTATATTTCAGGTACTTATATGTACATAAATCAAGCCGTATAACTCAATCTAAACTTTGTGAAATCCTTAAAATGTTCTAAACGACCAAAAAGGTGAAAATTCAAAAGGGCAAATTAAGGGAACCTTTATAAAATAAATTATGTTACTTATCAATTATGGGATTAAAAATTAGTGATCAGGGGATCCCTGGGTGGCGCAGCGGTTTGGCGCCTGCCTTTGGCCCAGGGCGCGATCCTGGAGGCCCGGGATCGAATCCCACGTCAGGCTCCCGGTGCATGGAGCCTGCTTCTCCCTCTGCCTGTGTCTCTGCCTCTCTCTCTCTCTGTGTGACTATCATAAATAAAATTTTAAAAAAAATTAAAAAAAAAAAATAAAATAAAAAATAAAAATTAGTGATCAAAAGACTCAAATCTGTTACCTTTCCTGGCCTACTACGTAAGACAGACCATCAATTTTCCCATTTATGAAGATTTTTTCTGATGAGCTACACTACACAGCAAGATTCTTATCATTTAACATATATACAAGATAATTATACCTGAGCAAAAAGATAAGCCATGACAAAGTCGTCAAGAAGAGGAGCTTCAGCACCTCGAGATATTCCGTGCCGATAGGTTCTGTTGCTGCCGTTACAATACCAGTAAGGGAAGTAAAATCTATGAGACAAAACATTCAGTCAGCCTCCAAATAGTTCAAATATAAACATACTGTGTACATACAACCACTTCCAGCATACTGAAAGGAGTCATCCCATAATCAGAAAACACAGCTAATGACAGTGTTAAATAGGAGTTGGGGACAGAAGAAAATCTGGGTAAGACCATGATAAAAATATAGACAGAATTCAAGAAACCTAAGTGTAAAATCAATATGCTGCCTGCTTCTATGGGCAGAATGCAGAAATAATACTAGGAAACAAAAATAGAAAAATAAAATATTAACAAGTTTTTAAAATATTAATTCAGTAATATCAGTAGGGGAATTTGAAAATACTAATTTGGTGTGAAAACAAATAATTGTTGCTTCTTTTAAGAAATGGAGGTTACCACAATGAAATATCACTTCATACCAAACAATGGCTTGTATCAAAAAGTCAAGAAATAACAAGAGCTGGCAAAGATGTGGAGAAAAGAGACCCCTCCATGTGCTACTGGGAGGATTGTAAATTGACACAGCCACAATGAAAAACAGTATGGAGGTTCTCAAAACACTAAAAATAGAATTACTATACAACCCAAAATTCTACTACTGGGTATTTATCTGAAGAAAATGAAAACACCAATTTGAAATGATACAGGCACTCCCAGGCTTACTGAAGCATAATTTACAAGAGCGGAGAAAAGGAAGCAGCCTAGGTATCCATCAACAGATGAACAGATAAAGAAGGTGTGGTGTATAAATACAATGGAGTATTACTCAGCTATAAAAAATAAAATGTTGCCATTCACAACAACAAGGGTAGACCTAAAGGGTATTATGCTCACTGAAATAAGTCAAAGAAAGACTAATAATCATATTTCACTTAAATACAGAATATAAAAAGCAAAAAAAATCAACAAAAAAATTAAAAAGGAAGAGACTAATAAAAACAATAAAAATCTGGTAGTTATTGTGGAGAGGGAGAAAAGGTGAAACGGGTGAAGGGGATTAAGAGGTATAAATTTCCAGTTATAAAATAGGTAAGTCACAGGATTGAAAAGTACGATGTCAGAAATATAGTCAATAATATTTTAATAACTTTGTATGGTGACAGATAGCAACTACGCTTACCACGGTGAGC